TGCGCATCCCCAAGATGTTTCGGGGCGTCCCAGGGACCTCCCTCAGATCTAGCCCCTTCCGCCTCCAAGACCCTTCCCTCGGAATCCTCTTTGGACCCCCCCCGGGACCGCTCGAGGCACCCCCCCAGAGGGTACGTCAGCTCCAAGAAGAGTCCCCGACGACTCCAGGACCGGGTTTTCTGTCGTTTCCTCATATTCCTCCTTCTCCTCGTCCTCCTCCTCGTTCTCCCTCCCGCGCCTCCTCCTCCTCCTCCTCCTCCTCCTCCTCCTCATCATCATCATCATCAGCAGCAGCAGATATTATTATTCTTCTTCTTCTTCTTCATCATCATCATCATCATCATCATCATCATCATCATCATCATCATCATCGTCGTCATCATCATCATCATCAGCAGCAGCAGCATTATTATTATTTCTATTATTGTTATTATTATTATCATTATTATTATGATTATTATTATGATTATGATTATTATTATTATCATCATCATCAGCATCATCATCATCATCATCAGCAGCAGCATCAGCATCATCATCATCATCATCATCATCATTGTCAGCAGCAGCATCATCATCATCATGATCATCAGCATCATCATCAACAGCAGCATCATCATCAGCATCATCATCATCAGCATCATCATCATCATCAAAAGCAGCATCATCATCATCAGCAGCATCAGCATCAGCATCATCATCATCAGCCGCATCATCATCATAATCATCATCATCATCAATATCATCATCATCGGCAGCAGCAGCATCAGCATCAGCATCAGCATCAGCATCAGCATCATCATCATCATCATCATCATCATCATCATCATCATCATCATCATCATCATCATCATCATCATCATCATCATCCGCCTCCTCCTCCTCCTCCTCCTCCTCCTCCTCTTCCTCTTCCTCCTCCTTCTCCTCCTCCTCCTCCTCCTCCTCCTCTGTCTTCCCTCCTCGCGCGCATCGGGCGGAGGCGGCCGGCGAGCGGAGGCACGGCCGGCTGCCGCCGCCGCCGTCGTCGTCGTCGTCGTCGCCGTCGTCGTCCTCGTCGTTGCCGTCGTCCTCCTCCTCTTCTCCTCCGCCGTCGTCGTCGTCGCCGTCGTCGTCCTTGTCGTCGTCGTCCTCCTCTTCTCCTCCTTCCCCCCCCCGCCCCCAGGACCCCCCCCTCGGAACCCTCCCCAGAACCCCCCCCCGGGACCGCTCCAGGCACCCCCCAGAGGGCACGTCTGCTCCCAAAAGAGTCCCCGACGATCCAGGGACCGCGGGACTCATCTCGGGTTTTTCCGTCGCTTCCTCATATTCCTCCTTGTCCTCGACCTCCTCCTCGTCCTCCCTCCTCCGCCTCCTCCTCCTCCTCCTCCTCCTCCTCCTCCTCCTACTTCTCCTCCTCCTCCTCCTCCTCCTCCTCCTCCTCCTCCTCCTCCTCCTCCTCCTACTCCTCCTCCTCCTCCGCCTCCCCCTCCCTCCCCCTCCTCCTTCTCCTCCTCCTCCTCCTCCTCCTCCTCCTCCTCCTCCTCCTCCTCCTCCTCCTCCTCCTCCTCCTCTTCTCTCTTCCCTCCTCGCGCGCCTCGGGCGGAGGTACGGCCGGCGAGCGGAGGCACGGCAGGCGCCACCGCCGCCGCTGCTGCCGCCGCCGCCGCTGTCGTCGTCGTCGCCGTCGCCGTCGTCGTCCTCGCCGTCCTCGTCGAAGCAGAAGAAGAAAGAGGACTGGAAGAATCGAGGAGAGAGGAGGCCAAAGAGCCGCGAAGATCACTAAATCTGGAGCCCCCCGGATCGGCCGAACCGGCGGGAGGCCATTCCAATATACAAAACAAAATGTGTCCGCCCGTGCGGGGCGCGCTGGGGCTGGCGGGGCCGCGCGCGGCCAGAACGCCACCGACGGAAGGGACATAAAAATGCGTGTTCTCGCCTCTACGCCTCGCACATTGGTCGTAGACATTTGCAACATCTACCAAGACGAAGGCGTTTTCTTTCAAAATGGGGCTCTCGGGCTGGCGCCGTTGACATGGATATTACAAAACTTACAGCAGCTAAATGAATGGACGACGATTTCTGTTCAAAGTGCGGCTACCGCCTGCTATTTTCTCAGACTGACAGCCGAAGGCTGAACAGATGTAACAACTGCACGGATGGAGGACAGCTCCCTTTCAAGAGCGGGCATCTCGCTCGAGACTCCTGCAATACTAGAGAGCCGGAATGTACATGCGTGTAACATGTTTAGGGAAACGAGCTCTATACACCGACGCTTTTCCCGACCCTGCTCTGAAATTCGCACAGGAACGCGGATTCTGGTGTATACGGGACCCTGGTGTGTATATATATATATAAATATATATAAGTTTGTCTTTGTGTCCCTTGGAAAACGGGGGAGAAGTATACACCACACCACCCCGACGTCGTCCCTGACCCTTAAAAAGTCGTGGGATTGAAAAACAACCTGCCACTGGTAATGTACATGTTCCAGGTTGCGAATTTTGAGGAAATCGGGGGGGGGTCCTTTTCAACGCTGGACCCTCGCTAGACACGCCATGGCCCTACCTTTGTCGCATCCACTATACCTCGCTAGCAGGGCGCAGGGCAATTCCTTTTCAAAACGGGGATCTCGCCTGAAAGGCAGGCCCATCGGGTGCTCATCTGTTAAGAGGGCGCTTCCTGTGGTGAAGATGAAAGTTTGTAGGGATGTATGAGAAGGCGACTTGGGACGGATCCTCCTTCTCCTCCTCCTCCTCCTCCTCCTCCTCCTCCTCCTCCTGTTCCCTCTCCGCCCTCCACTCCTCCAGTGGAAGTCATCGAACGTCCGCTGACCTGGCTACCTCGGGCTGACACGCAAGAGGCCACACCATTTTGGGAGTCGACAAAAGGCCAGGTTGCTTTGACTTGTCCTACCGCTGTTCTCGGACGGTTTCTGGAGTGATTTGAGATTTCTCTATTGCCCACACGTTTCAAGGAGGTTCAGATGCCGAGGAGGCGGCAAGAGGAATGCCCACAAGTATCGTTTCTCCCCAGGGGAGCATCCTCCCTGCAGGTCGCGACGGCTCCCAACCTCGAGAATATCACTGCAAAGCCACCAACGCGCACCAAGACTACAAAGGCAGATCCGGCACCATGCCTTTGGCACGCTGGGCCGTGTTCGTACGCCTATTCACTGCCCAGTAAAGTTTCAACTAGTTTTCCAAGGGCATCCACCACCTCATCGCAAGGCGCGCCGAATATCGCCCTTCGCAGTGGATCGCCCCTCCTGGTGTTGGTCTCCAGTGCTCGTGTTCGGCAACTAGACGCCCTAGGACCACTTCAAGAAGGCTGCAGGGTGCCCCAAGACCATCTCGAGATTGCCCAAACGACCCCCCAGAGGCCCTAAGAGCTTCCAAAGACGCCAATCTACATATGTATATTACATATGTGCCCCAAAGCAGCCATCGAATGGCGCACAACGAGGTCTCCAGCGAGGCCCCAATGAAAGGCCCGAGGAACCGCAATCATGTTGTTGCTTCCGAGCCTGCGGCTTAGATTGCATCTGGGAGACTTTAGACGAGCCCACAAAGCCCAAAAGACGGCGCAAGGGGTTCCCAAGGCAGCCTCAAGACGGCCCAAAACAAACACCCAAGATGGCCCAAGACAACCCCAAGAGGACTCCATGGCCCCCAGACCAGCCCACGCAGCCCCAGGATGGTCCAATCGCGGCGCTTCGCGGGAGCTCAGTAGGACGTCGCGCCCAAGACAGCGCCGAGACCCCCGACAGGCCCCCAGGGACACTCAAGAAGCCTCAGAAAAGGCTTAAAGAGGCTTCCAGGAGGTCCCAAAGAAGCCCCTAACAAGTCCCCAAACAGCATCCAAGAAGCCCCGAAACGCAACGCAACAACCACGCAACTGAATGGCTGTGCCAGGCTGCAATGTCGGAGAGCAGCTTCCCATTTGGCCCCTAGATGGTTCTACCGAGTCTGTTCGGAGACCTCGATATAAATACCCTGAATATGTTCCCGACGTTGCGCTGGCACTGTGGCCGGGTGTGCCGCAGTGACAACACGCCACTATCAACACACGATTCGCATGGTACTCGTCATCTTGCTGTACACCCTTCAGCCATCGTCTGCGACACACGCATGCGCATGCTCTTCTGCGGCGCCCACAGCCCCGGCCCCTCTTCAGGAAAGAGTCCACGTACGACTCGATGGGGTCCCTGATCCAGAAAGCAGAAGCAATCACTCAACAGGTGAGCAACGGAAAGGAAACGCTTTTACGCGAGATGGCATAGCGACCTTACGCCGCAGCTTACGCGGGCCGCCAGCACGGCGCGCCACACTGGAGATCAGGGCGCTTACGCGCGACCTTACGCGGGCAGCTTACGCGCGAACGTTGGTGCAGTCGACCCCGTCGTTCAACGATTCAACGTCGCTCCGGTTTCGCCACGAGCATAAAGACAGACCAAACATCTATGCCGAAAGGAGTGGCAGCAGCCAGGGGCTGCACAACATGCGGCAGCGGCAGCAGCCAGGACCAGCGGCACAGGGCGGGAGCGGGGCGGCAACGGTCAGAGACTGCTTCGCTCTCCTTTTTTGAAGGGGTGGACAAGGCTGCCTGGCACGAGCTGGCGCGCAAATCCGCCGACCCTTCGGCGTGTGGAAGACGCTGTCGTCGCCGCCGTCGTCGCTGTGATCGTCGTCGTCGTCGTCGTCGGCGGCGGCGGCGTCGTCGTCGGCGGTGGCGTCGTCGTCGTCGTAGTCGTCAGTCCCAAGGAACTTGAGGAACAAGAGAAGGAACGTCGTAGTTAAGTCGAAGGGAATCCCCGTCCCTTTATGTCCTCCCTGCCAGGGGGCGGGGGTGGGGCGGGGGGTCCCGGATCAGAAGACCTCCCCCCTGGGGTCCGCCCCCCCGAAGTCCCGGCGGGTCCCGGGGGGGGTCGCCAGCGGGGGTCCCCGGGGCAGGTCCCGCCTTCAGGGTCGGCGGCACCGGCCGTGAGCCTTCGCAACACAGACTCAGCCGCGCGGCCGTGCCGACTACCAGCGCTGGGGGTTGCTGGATTTCTTGCCGCCACGCGTATTCGGGAAGAGCGGTCTCGTCAAGCTCACCTTGGACCACTTGCGGGCGTACAGCCGCTTCCTGGGTTTCTTGTGTGCGCCTGGCGCTGCGCCAGCCCCGCCTGGCACCTTCTCGTTCGCGGGGCCCTGCTGCCGTGCCTCCATCGCGCGCTCGATGTCGTGGATGAGACGCCACTGGCCCACGAGCTCCAGCTCTGTAAGCATGGAGTATAAGGCCTCGAGCTCTGTGTCCTTCAGCTCTGGCACTGCAGCTCTCAATCGTGGGCCCAATGCCTCAAAGATCTGCCGTTCTGGGGGGCCCCGGCGCGCGAAAGCCCAGCACATCCGCACCAACTGCGACGGCCCCAGCACGCATGGGCCCCGCTGCCGCAATGCCGACATGGCGGCCCTCTCCGCTCGCTTCCAGAACTCGCCACAGCGCCTGGGGCCTGCCAGCCGCGCCAGCCCGTAGGTGCTCCGGTAGAGCAGCACGGGTGGCAGCTCGGCGACATGGGGTGCGAGGCGCCCCGCCGCGAGCGCCGTGGCCTCCAGGACCACGTCGTTCGGCGGCGTCGGCACCGCGGACACGGCCCAAATGCCGTCCGCCAAGTGCGCCGGGGGCAGGGCCTCCGCGTGCTGCAGGAAGAGCGGCCAGGCCGCCAGCGCGGCCTGGCGCACGCTCAGCTCCGCGAAGCGCACCAGCGCCAGGTGGGCCGCCTCGGCGCCCAGGGCGGGCAGCGCCGCCTGGACGCGGGACACGAACCCGTGGAGGTCGCCACCGGACCGGGGCACCTTGCCCAGAGCCACCAGGCGGTTGGTGAAGGCGCGGAGGTCCTCCATGCCCAGCGGCAGCCGCGTGGAGCCGCCGACCCGCAGCACCGCGGCGCTGTCGGCACACTGGCGCAGCTCCGAGTCGAAGAGGGAACCGCCCTGCCGTCCAAAATGCTGCAGGTCAGCCCTCCCACCCTGCCGCCGTGCCAGGCCCTCGTCGCGCGCGCCTGCAACGGCCTGCTTGCCTGCACGCACCTGCGACGCTTGGGCGCGTCGCGCGGCATCGCCATGCGCCAGTCTGTCGGGGACGCTCTTCCAACCGCGACGGGCCACCAGCGGGCGGATCGGCATGGGGTGCAGCTTGCAAGGCTTCTTGAGCCAAATTGGGTGCTAAACTGCTTGAAACATGAAGGCCCGTCGAAAAGCACACCTGGTTACATGCGAGGGATGCGGAAATTGAAACTGCACGAGCTTGGTCGAATATTTGGTGGGCGATATTCGGAACACTAGAACTTAGACACAACGCCCGCTGCCACCAGCAGGTGCAAGCGACGGAGGACAAAATCATCAGAAATGGGTCGCAAGCGGCGAGGGGAAGACTGCTTGCCAGACTGGCTGATGAAGGAACAGGTATAAGCGCTGAATTACCCTGGCGATATCACGATGGACAACAAGCGCTGGCCGCATGTGGTATTAAGAATACGAAACTACGAGTAGCCAACCAAAGCAGCACAAACTAATCCGATGAAGGGTTACAATGTGACCTAAAACGATATGCTGACAAGCTTACTGTTCAAGCAACAGACAGGCTGGATATTGTCAGAAAGTGATCCAAACTGAACACAAAACGCACTGCTTAGCTTGCTCTATACCGCACTGTGCTTTAGCGGATTCATCTCGAACTGCCACGCATTGCATTGCATCGCGCTCTGTTCGGCGTCGCTTTGCCCTGTGATGCACTGATTCGCGCTGCACTGATTGATTCGCACTCGATTCGTCTCTAATCAGACGCACGAGTAACCGCGGCAGCGATGGGTCAAATCCCTACGTACGTTGACCCAGTGATGGCATATTTCCCTCTGCGCCCTCCTCCCCCGCCCCCCTGTGCGCGCAAAACTGTAAGTTTCTCTTCTGATGGGTTCAACCGCGCAGTCAGTAGGGCGACGAAATCTATGAGAGCCCGCCGTTGGATGCCCCCGACGGGGGGGGGTCTGGGACCCCCCCCACACTCTTTCCCAGCCAGGCTTTGCCGCGCCGGCCACCGCCACTATCGCTGTCGCCGTCACACGAATCGATGGCCCTGACGAGGGGACGACGGCGGCATTGGCAGTGCCGAAATGCGCCCAAGAGTCCAGCAAGGCATGAGGGTGCGAACCTGACTTGTCTGGCTGATGCTCTGGGGGGGGTGTTCAGGAGAGCCTGCAGCACCGCTCAACAACGTACTGCCACCTGAACCTGCAGGGAGGGCGATTTCCATTTATCCGTGCACTTCAATTTTAGATTCGGCGTCAACTGCAGATCCACCGTGAAGCGCCTTCGGGCCAGCTCACCCGAGTCGGAGTTTTTGTTTGGACGGGTGTTTCCTCCGCCTTGTCATGTTTTCTCTTGTCCTGTCTTGGCTTGGCATGTCTTGGTTTGTCTTCTCTTGTCTTGCCTTGTCTTGCATTCTCCGTCGGTCTGGCCTCGCCTCACTGCTGGTGCTGCTGTTGCTCCCCTCGTCCAGCTCGAGGAATAACAAACCCATCGCAGTCTAGCTTTGCACGCCGCCTGGCTTGGACGCGTCGGCCACCGTCAATGTCGCTATCACCGTCACCCGGACCAATGGGGGTGACGGCGGCAGTGGCAGTGCCGAAACGCGACCAAGGTCCAGCACGGCATGAGGGTGCAAGCCCATTTGCCTGGCTGATGCTCTGGGTGCGGGGCTTGTGCTCAATGGAGATTGCAACACCGTTCAACGATGTGTTACGAAACAAAACCTACTGGGAACGCGGTTTCCATGTATTTGTGCACTTCAGTTTTGGTTTCGTCTCCAGCTGCCGACGCACCGTGAAGCGTTTTCGGGCCAACTTACCCCGAGTCGGATTTTCCGTTCAGACGGGTGTTTCCCTCTGTCTTCTCTTGTAGTGTCTTGAGTTGTCTTGTTTTGCCTTGTTCTCTCCGTCGGTCTGGACTCCCCTCCCTGCTGCTGGTGTTATTCCCCTCGTCCGGCTCAAGGAATATCGAGCCCCTCGCAGTCTGGCTTTGCACGCCGCCAAGCTTGGACGCGTCGGCCACCACCACTGTCGCTGTCGCTGTCACCCCAGTCGGTGGCCCGGACCAGGAGGTGACGGCGGCAGTGGCAGTGCCGAAACGCGCCCAAAGTCCAACAACGCATGAAGGAGCAAACCCGATTTGTCTGGCTGATGCTCCGGGGGGGGGGCCTGTGCTCAACGGGGGCTGCAGCACCGCTCAACGATGTGCTATCAACCAAATTTGCAGGGTGGGTGAGCCTTCCCCGTGTCTCTGTGCACTTCAGCCTTGGTTTCGGGCAAACTCGCCCCGAATCAGATTTTCCGCTCGGACGGGTGATCCCCTCTGTTTTGTGTTGTCTTGTTTTGTCTTGCTCTCTCCGTCGGTCTGGCCCCCCCTCCATGCTGCTTCTGTTGCTCCCCTTTTCCGGCTAAAGGAATATCGAACCCCTCGCAATCTGGCTTTGTACGCCGCCAGTTTAGACGCGTCGGCCACCGCCACTGTCGCTTTCGCCGTCACCCGGATCGGTGGCCCTGAACAAGAGGTGACGGCGGCAGTGGCAGTCCCGAAACGCGCCCGAAGTCCAGCAAGGCATGAGGGTGCAAGCCCGAGTTGCCTGGCTGATGCTCGGGGGGGGCTTGTGATCAGGAGAGGCTGCAGCACCGCTCAACGATGCGCGATGAGACAAAGACCTACAGGGCACGCCCTTTGAATTTCTCTGATGCGCCGTGAAGCGTCTTCGGGCCAACTCACCCGAGTCGGATGTTCCGCTCGGACGGGGTGTTCCCATCTGTATTGTCTTGTCTTGTTTTGTCTTCTCTTGTCTTGGCTTGGCTTGGCTTGTCTTGTTTGATTATGTATTGTCCTGCTCTCTCCGTCGGTCTGGCCTCCCCTCCATGCTGCTGCTGTTGTTTCCCCCCTCGTCCGGTTCAAAGAAGATCGAGCCCCTCGCAGTCTGGCTTTGCACGCCGCCAAGCTTGGACGCGACGGCCACCGCTACTGTCGCTGTCGCCGTCACCCGAGTCGGTGGCCCTGACCAGCAGGTGACGGTGGCAGTGTTAGTGCCGAAGCGCGCCCAAAGCCCAACAACGCATGAGGGTGCAAACCCGACTTGTCTGGCTGATGCTCTGGGGGGCGGCTTGTGTTCAGGCGAGGCTGCAACACCGCTCAACGATGCGCTCTCAACAAAAATCTACAGGGCAGGCCCGTCTCATTTATGTGCATTCAGCTTTGGCGTCGGCTTCAGCTGCCGATGCACCGCGAAGCTCGTGCCAGCTCACCCGAATCGCACTTTCTGCTCACACGGATGCTCCCCTCCCCAGTGTGCTTTAGCGGATTCACTTTGAACTGCCTTGCAATGCTTGCGCTCTGCTCGGCGTTGAGTTGCCCTGTGATGCACTGATTCGCCATGCACTGATGGATTTGCATTCGATTCGCCTCTAATCGGCGGCACGGGTGGCTGCGACAGCGATGAGAAAAAGAAGCAGGTATGTTGACCCAGGGAGTGTAGCTATCCCTCTGCGCCCTCCTCCCCACGCCCTTGTGTGCGCAAAACTGTAACGTTCTCTTCAAATCGGTTCAACCGCGCATCCTTCCTGTAGGGCGACAAAATCAATGAGGGCGCGCCGCTGGATGCCCCCAAGGGGGGGGGGGGTGGGACCCCCGTCCCGCCCCCCCTTCCCCGGTCCGTCGTCGGCGGACCACCACCCCCGCCCCTTTTCCCAATCCGTCGTCGGCGGACCCCCCACTCCTTTCAAAAGGGGGGAGGAGGGTTCGAACCCCTCCCACCCACGCCTTTGGATTCGAAATTCGGACCCACCCCGTACCCTTCCCCCCTTTCAAAGGGGGGGAAGGTTCGGACCCCCCCCCTTTTTCACTCCAGAACCCTAGCTCCGGACCTCCACCCCCTAACATTACCCCCAAACCCTTTTAACCCGAACCTCAATCCCGAACCCCAAAACCCCGAACCCCAACCCTATTCCTAACCCTCACGCTAACCCTCACCCCAAACCTTGCCCGTACCCTCACCCTCACCCTATCCGTAACCCTGACCCCAAATCCGAACCCTAAGCCTTACGTTCTAACCCCTAACCTCTAACCCCGAACCCAAAACTCCCAACCCCAAACCCCCTTGCAACCCTCAGCCTAACCCCAAAGACCTACTACCCTGACCCGAACCCCCTGACTCCCCAAACCCAACCCTAAACCCGAACCGTAAACTTTTCATCCTAGCCTTAGCCCCCATACCCCACTAACCCCCGAACCCGAACCCTGACAGCTTAACCCTGACTCTAACCCTAATCCGACCCCCTCTAATCCTTACTTCTTATGATTAAACACCCCCACATCCCCACCTAGCCGGCCGACAGCAACCCCGCCGCCCTAACTGTCAAAAACCAACGCAAACTCAACATGTTTCTCGCCAGAATGTCGTCGAGTTCCGAAAAATGGAACAGGAATGGGGCGGAATGAACATCGCTCGGGAAGCCCTAAGCGGGTGGTCGCGTCCTACCGATCCAAAAAACCATATGCAGTCAACGTTTTTCTCGTCAACATGGACTTTCTTGTCGTCGACGCTGCGAAAAATGTAGCAGAAATGGGACGCGGCGCACATCGCGCGCGGACGCCCGGCCAACCCTACGCGGGACCCCCTGGCGTACCTGTCAAAGAACACTGCAATGTCGACGTTGTTCTGGCCAACATGTACTTTCTCTCGTCGGCGTTGCGAATCCCGTAACGGGAATGGGACGCGGCGCACATCGCGCGAGGACGCCTTCTCGTCAACATGGACTTTCTGACTTTCTTGTCGTCGACGCTGCGGCCCGTCGGTTTGAAGAGCTGGGCGGGCGGCAAGTCAGAATGCCTCAAGCAAGTGCGGTTCAAGCAAGTGCCTCAGGAGACCCCGCAGAAGTTTAAAAAGGCGTCCAGGAGGTCCTGGGAGGGCAACACAAATATTGATGTTCATTTGGTGCTTGAAGGATTGTGAGATTAGCACCTACTCGTGTTGACAATGTTCCAACCGGGAAGATATATCCAAGAGGCCCTCATGCGTATGCCAGAAAGCTCCCAGGACGCCCCGCGACTTCCCAAGAGGCATTCTCCTCTTCCTCCTCAGTTTCTCC